TCGACAATTAAACCATCTTCGCTTTGCTGACGATATCGTTCTCATAACACCAAACATCAGTCAAGCGGAACAAATGTTGACTGATTTCGATAACGCCTGTGGAAAGATTGGTCTTCAACTAAATCTAACGAAAACGGTGTTCATGAGGAACGGATGGGTTTTGAATGCCCTATTCACGCTCAACAGACCGACAATCTCCTTACGTCTATCTAGGTCGGGGAATCAACATGATGAACGACCTAGTTCCAGAGTTGAGCAGGAGTAAACGAGCGGCTTGGGGAACGTTTAAGAGCATCAAAGATGTAGTGAAGAGGACAAAGAACATCCGACTCCGTGCCGACCTTTTCGACTCGACAATTATCCCTGCCCTAACGTATGCAATGGAAACGTGGTCGCTACGTAAGCAGGATGAAAGATCACCTGGCGTTATAGAACGCGCAGTCGAAAGGTCGATGCTAGGAGTATCCCGTTTCTCGCAAATGAGAGAAAGGAACCGAAGCTCCGCCTACGTCAACAATCAAAAATCAGAGACGCCGTTCTACACTTCAGGATATCGAAAATAGGGTGGGCCGGACACGTGATGCGCTTCAACGACAACCGATGGACGAGAGCCGTTACCGACTGGATTCCTCGGGACATCAAGCGCACTAAAGGAAGACCACTGACCCGCTGGTCCGATTTCTTTACGAAAGCGATAGAAGAAAGATATGAGGCTCAGTGAATCCCTAGATCGAGCAGGACCCACTGGACTACTCTTGAACGCGATAGGGAAAAGTGGAAGAGTTGCTGGTACCCGCTCGAGTTACTTGACGATCAACGGGACGACAGGTGATACGACAAGTGACAGGTGATCATACCATTCCTATAGGATGTAAAATAATCAAATAAAGAGGCTTCTGTTTGTTCATCAATACCCAGTATCTGTCATTGTGACTGGACTTAATGTCGATAGATAAACTTCTAGGCCACATTGTGGCTGCGTGAAAGAACATGTAATAGGCAGGCTGAAAAGTAAATCAAGTACTCCACTAGAGTCGCATAAAACAAAGACACATGACGAGGAGACTTTGAAGTAGAAGTCGTTATCCTCGCTCAGCAACAGAAAACCTCAACGTATAAGATTTCAGAAGCATTTTGGATGAAATCTATGGACCTCAACATGAACTGTAGGATAAAATGCTTTGTAATCATACGTGATATATCGCCGTATTCATGATTGTTTTTTGATGCCAGAGATGCATTCACAGTCTATGTGACTTTCGCTTGGTTGGTCTCTTTGAAAGCTCAGTGGTGGACCCATAAAAGCGGTGAGTATGTTGGAAAATTGCTGCGTGCTTGATGAATGTGAAATCTAGCTTCGATAATTTTCTCCCGTTGAAGTAATGGAGGTGTCTGGCTGACTGGGTTATGGGCAGCCTGACCTTTCCGGAATCTAGAAAAGGCGAAACTGTAGAAACGGCAGCTGTTTGAACAGACCATACTGAAACTTCCTTATGCCTGGTTCACAGAGAGAAAAATATGAAACATCGAAATAGTGACTACTTGATAAAAGCTGTTCACTGAGCAATTAAATGCTTGTGCATTAAGTTAAATTTACTTTGGTTGTCGAAGTGTTTGGCTAAGTAGATTTCATGTCAACTTGAATCTTCCACTCTCTAAAAGAGCGGAAATGGCGAAACGTTAGGCATATTGTATTACTATTTTACTGTATTGCTGTTAACTTCATTTACTGTACCACGCAAAGAAATCTGGGCGCTACACGCAGGGCGCTCAAGCGAAGTGTTCTGAAGTCCAGTCGGTACTCACAATTTCTAGTGAGTTTGTGCAGCTCAGATAGTTGATTACTCTACCATCTTCGAGATACAAAATATGTGCCTCGATAGCGAATCACAGGTGGGTAGATAAAAACTAGATGACAAATGTACAAAAGAACAGTGGCGTGGACTCTATGAAAATGCAAGCGTCTTCCTGTTAGACCACCCAAACGATGGGCGGACGCATCCGTGGTAACGTCAATCATCTAAATCCGCAGATGGTAACGAGGACCCATGGATAGGGGTCACTCGTACGTCGTCATACTGGAAAAGGCCACCACTATGGATGGACTACAATTGAGCGACGAAATTATAAATGGAAACTATGCCGAGGCTTACAGCACCTTTGAATACGGGCCATCCAGGTAACCAAATAAACTGCATTCGATGAGTACTACTCACAATTTATCATCGATTGTCAATCAAGTAATAGAAATTTTGGTAAAATATGCTATTTAAACAAACCCATATCTATCTAGTGAAGTAATCATCACATAAATATAATCCGGATGCTCGAAAGCAGACACCAAAGAAATGTTCATCTTCGACCCACTCTGGAAGAAAAAAACTACTTGGGTTTCTTTTGTAGGCAGGATTAACATGTGTCTATGGCTTTTCATTTACCGTTTGCCTACGACGACCAATTCCTTTCTGCATCGCTTCGTCGTAAAACTTTCGCAGATAATTGCGTGATGCTTCAGGCTCGTGACTTGAAGAATTGAGCATTGCAAGGTCTGATGATAGCCAAAAATAAAAACATGCACTTAGCATTGATGAACGTGTTGCAAGTATGAATGTAAAGAGTTCGCACAGTACTATTTATTTCAAACTCTAACTTGAATTCATTTTATTTGACCGCGTATTGCGGTGGTATGATGTTACAGTAAACCCAATAATGTAGAGTGGTGTGTAAAAACATTCGCATCGGCCGGGATTCCTGGAAAGAGTGAGATCTGGGTTCGATCTCGGAAGGAGTGAGATCTGCGTTTGAGCGTGGAAAGAGCGGTGTGCACAATGAGCATCGGTGGTGCAACGGTTCAGCACGTGATCGCAGGAAGAATTAGATATGGGTTCGAACCTCGACTGACGTAAATGTTTTTGCACACCGCTGTACATTAATGGTATACTCTGACTTAGCTCAAGTAATTCTTCAAACAATCCTCAACAGAACTGCTCAGATTGTGCACCTTAATCAAAGATAGGTATGAAGAAGAACATATATTTTGTTTATGTCGTTTTCGAAAGTGTTAATAAATCTATTATAATAACAAGAAGAGTGAATAAACACAAAAACGTTTTTTATAGTATCATTGGGTAGCCGAAAAAACAAACCTATGCTGAACCCACTTTTATTTAACCCTTTTAGATATGATAAAAAAAACTCCCCTTACTGATAAGCTAACATGAGGTTGCAGCCAGAGCCTCACTCGCTTAATGTTTCATCATCTTCCTCTTGTTCATAACCAGATAGTTCCGAATCGATGCGATGGTCCACTACCGTTTATTAATGTGATGTTGGTCTTTATAGCCGTATAAAGAGAATTATCTTGAGTAGTACACCTTTTGGTTATGCACTCTCATTGCGATGTGCTCTATGATATAGAACGGCTGTAGATAGAGTGACAGCTAACAAAAAACCTTACGAACTATCTTTATTTGTGAGTACAACTCTCAAGAGGCCGTTAATCCCATTTTTAATCCTAATTTCGGTGACTAACGTTCCATCGCTTTCATCCTCTTCAGAGTGTGGACGGGGAACTGTATCAAATTATATCCAACTCACCTGATCACCTTGGCCCCGTTGATCATCGAGTGAGTTGAGCGCTCACCAATGATACATACATTTTCCCCATCTCGTGCAAGAGTAGCTCAGTGGGCCCTCTCCGCTCCAGTAATTCATTAAGTATCACATCTTTCTTTTTGGCTTTTTGTGAGAAATCGGACCAGCGGATTGGTGAACTTCCTGAGGTGCGCTTGACATCCCGAGAAATCCAGATGGTAACGGCTCTCGCCTATTGGTTGTCGGTAAACCGCATCAGGTGTCCGGTTCACCTTGACTCCGATGGCTTGGCGTGTAGAACGACATCCTTGATGTGAGCCCATTTCATGAAACGCACCGGTCACTTACCTTTACAGGAGAAGTCATCAATGTATAATATCATGCTAAGAAGACTGAACATTACTCAATTAAAAGGCTAAGAGATAAGTTGTCATGTCATTTGTGGTGCTCTGACACTCTCCCCTTTCGTTCATTCTTGAACATCAGACTTACCCAAAAGCTGGTAATTTTGTTTTACTAAAAAGTTAAACAGTATGTTTTTATTGCGCAACGCTAACTCAAAATTATCAATCATTATTTGGAACAGGTGCTTGTAGTAGTTAGATATCTCTCACCTGAATAGATGCTATCACAATTGCTCGTCTCCCATGTGAATAACGGTAGTTGCTGCGTGGCAGATGATTGAAATATCATTTCGTGGTTTTTGATTAGCACAACGGTAGTTAGAAAGGCAAGGAAAGCCAAACTGATCATTCCCACAGCTTCCCACACTTTCGAACTCATGATTCGCTTTGATGATGAAAAGCCAGATTGAGTTACTCTCGGTGGTATTGTGGTGACTATTATCAAAATTGGAAGCACTTGAAAAATAAAATACGAAAAACTGTATGGCGACTTCTTTGAATGAGATCAAAGAAAAACTGTATATTAGGTTAATTAGGAAGTAACAGCGGTCTATACATTGGAGAAATGCGCTTTCAATATTGGAATGAATTCTTGAATAATCGTGGTTACGTCAAATACTATTTTGATGCACATTTCTCGATCTAAGTTTTGCTGTCAATAACGTTTATCTGTTGTTTCTTTTACTTCTATTCAAGACTATAGAGAGGAAGTTGGTTGGTGCAAGAGTAAGCACGGTTTTAGATCGTGAGTTCAAAATGGGTCGTAAAGCAGCTGAGACAACTCGTAACATCAACAGCGTATGTGGCCCAGGAACTGCTAACAAGCACACAGTGAAGTGATGGTTCAAAAAGTTCACAAAGGAGACGCGTGTCAACAATACCTACACCTTGCTTACTTTTGTACCAACCTCATCAGAGTTTATGGGAAAAGCGACCATTGAAGCTGATTTCTTTAAGACTGCATGAAATATAACTTGGAGAATTGACTGGTGAGCAAAACACGGCCTCAGGCGGGAATCGAACCCACGTTTCATCCTATCCGGGTACGCGTGCTCTAACCACTACACCACCAAGGCACATTTGCCCGACCACTCATTCTTCAACATCTCTATGTTAGCTATCAGCCACCAACCTTTAACAGGTTTGGTCGGATATGTGATTTCGCTTTATAAATCCCGTTGAGTTGTTAGAGCACGCGTCCGCGGATAGGATGAAACGCGGGTTCGATTCCCGCCTAAGGCCGTGTTTTTGCTCATCACTCAATTCTCCAAGTTATATAAGGAACATCATGACACTGCGAAATAAGCAGAGAAATACTATAGTTTCGAAGTACTGCATGAAATGTTGCGAAGAAATTACAAGGTGACTCTTAACGTTCTTGCCATTTGAAGCAACTTACCAAAGCAATTGCGTTTTCAGCATTATCTATATTAACTTTCCATCAAACTAATACAACATAGGAATGACATCCTACTTCGGATACGATAAAAAATCTATGATCAATCAGTCGAATATGTAGAGGCAACAGTATGAGGGTTTGGAATAAAATCTTCCGGTGTAAGAAAACAAAATAAAACTATACGGTTGCGATGGCACTGATTGTTACAAACTTCCAAACTTCTTAAGAATGAAAGACAAGAGTCGACGTGATGAGTGACTGCGACATTGCTTATCTTAAATTGATCATCGTATAAGACATGCATCGATCTATCTACACGATGAAGATTTCCTTTACGATCTGATCAATACATAAATCCCGATCTATATATATAAAATATAGATTTTTGAACACTGACAGATATACAGTCAAACAGAGTACGGTGGAAACAATGTTGACCGAATATCGTTACCATAACGATTTACATAACAATTTTGGATGGAACTTTGATACTGTATGTTTACATTATCAATTACTGTCTAATTCATTTTTAGCTCCATGGCACTTTGCGCTGTACTCAGCTGTGTTTTGATGCCGATATGTGCTCCGTGGGTCAGACGCATTGTAAGAATTTGCTGAAATACGATTTGGGATTAACAAAAAAATCTATTTTGACTAGAATGGATCGAATGAAAAACCGACCTCGTTCGTTGGAGAGGAAGCTCTCATAGGAGTGTTAGTACTCAATCGAAAGCTGGGACGTCAGGCTACAGCACATGCCACCGGTCTTCCAGAACACCCCTTTGCGACGTTGTAGCATCCAGATCAAAAATTATGTTTCACACTCGCCTTATGCCTTCATGTTTGCCACGCGTGTAATTCGCTGAAAGCAGAAAAGCATATCAATGTGTTTAAAAATTTCCTTAGTATCTTAGTCAATCGATCTATCTAGAGTTCCTTTCGAAACGGGCAAAAAATTTCTATTTGAATAACAAAATATCGATCGTCCCGTATCGCCCAGTTCCGTTTACGCTCTTTGCCACGAACCTCTCGTTGTCGAATAGCCTGCAAACAACGTTACCACAGATGTAGAACTCAATCTCATTTTTTCTGCTAAACTGTAGTTTTAGCAAATAAGCGCATCCCTACAATCCGCGAACATTATGTTATCAGATGATCATTAATAGTCGAGAGAATGAGCTCTGTCCGGCGAGGTTTAAAGCAAAAATCAAAAAGTCAGAAGAGATCAAAAGATTAAAAGAGCATTAAAGAGCAAAAACATTTTCCAGTTTTATTGAAGCTTGTGCTATAGCTTGAGTAGTAGCGCTCTGAGAAAGGAATTTTGTCCAGCGAAATATAAACGAGCTAAGATAAAAACACGTGGCTTCACGAAACATGATTTTATTATCAATGTTACAGCGTTATAAAGGGGTGCTAGAAAAATCGGTAACATGGGGCTGTAGCCTGAAGTAACAGCTTTCCAATGGTTACTAACACTCCTACTGAAACTTCCTCTCCAGCGAATGGGATCGTTCTTACATTTGTTCCCTCCTAATCAGAAGGAACTTAGAACTTCCACGTGTCAAAATTCTGTGCCACTTTTGGAGATGATTCATAACCTACTGCTCGGTTCTCTCCACTTCATAGGTTTCAATCGTTTCTTCACATTTACCCTACACCAAGACACTCGGACTGTGCTTGTGGTTTCGAGCGCTTCTTGATGATTTATGTCTTGTAAATGAATCTCGCTGATTTCCAAACGGATCGATTTTTGCTCGAATCACGGCATAATCGCGTACTAGGGTGCTCATAGGTGGATCGAAGGAAATGAGCTAAATTCAGACAAATCTGTTAGCAATTTTACAGCTCCAGAAGAAAATAGACCCTATACGTTATCAAATTATCCTGAAATGACCTTTATCATCTGTCAAACATTTGCTCTAGTATTGTAATTATACTAAACGAGTATTTTGAGTGTTTTATTGAAAAAGTTGAGTATAACACTGGTTATGTCAGCAATCCGTGTTTCTGTGAGTACAAAAGCAAAGTTCCGTATGTCCTTGTGAAATCAACTACACTGATTTTTTACAATAATCTTAACTTAATGAAGAGATTCAATTTTGTGTTTCCCGTTCCGCCCTGATTCGACTTCTTGGGAAGAACGTATTTCTCGTTGTTTTCGAAGTTTGAGCAGTCACTGGTTTTTAGAAAGGACCTCTTAGTATGTTGCAACAATCAAAAGAGTAATGAATTTGGCAAATTTGGCACCTGAAGAAGCGCTGTGGCTTAGAGACAGCAATGCTGCAGAATTCTATCCACAAACTGGCAAAGCGTAGTGGTTCCAATGTCGCTCTGCGTGAAGCTTCTCTTTCTTGTGGCCTAAAATTTCTTCTGAAAAGCCAAATATATCATTAGAGCTGTCGAAAATTAGACTATCGAATGGTCACCAAAAGTGCAGAGGAAAAACTTTGTCCAGCGCGAAATGTTTGGATGAGGACAAAATTTTATTTCTGCTGGTCCAGCTCAATATCAGTGACATTTTTAAAATAAATTACGCTGTTGCGACCTTTGAAATATAAGCTACTAGATAATTACTGAAACTTTAATAAAGAGCAAAAGGCGCTTTCTTAAAAGATGCGAAGAAGGGTGCGCATAACGAAGATGATCCAAAATTGCGAAACTCAATCTCCTCTTGGCCGTTACAACGTAACTCAAGCCATTTTTTAGAACAAAATTTATCATTGGAGTTGTCAAGGTTCAAGCTAACAAAACATTACTAGACGTCTGAAAGACAATGTCTGGTTAACGAGGAATGTTTGAAGGAGAATATGTTGAAGTGTTTTTTTGTTCGTTAGCAAACTACTATACTGCTCGGCACCGCAAAAGGTAAACGAAGCATTCTCTCAACTGTTGTCCACTCTCTTCCACCGGATCCCTTTCCTAAACATTCGCAATAAACTTAGTTTTGTCGTGGAAATAGACATTTGTATAGATGTGATAATCATTCCAGATTCATCACTCTTCATTATTCTCTACAGCTACAAGAACTCAACAATGCGCTTCAATTCACTGATCTCAGTCGCTGTGCATGGCTATTTGTTTCGATCTGGCTCTCTACAGAGTTTATGGCTTTGATCACGACATCGTAGATACAACTCTTATCAATTTAATGCATTAAGGGTTCTATGTATAATGTTTATACATATACTGACATATACTATACACTGACAGGTATACATTGGAGGACACCAGAATTTCCTCATTATGTCACTCAGCGGACGAGAGGTTGTTAACAGATCATATTATTTATTTATTTAATTATTTACACGAAGCTCCATCAAATTTTTTTATGGTGCGGATCATAGTGCTTCTAGCATTTGATTCGTTTTTCATCTTCTTCTTGAATTACGTAGAATACTGGTCGAGCATGTCTCCTTGCAATCTCGAGGATAACCTGGCTGCGGCGTTCCATAGCGTGTTCTTGATGACTGTCGGAGAGTGTTGGGAGATGGAGCTCGGCTCCACGCGTGCCGTGACGAGCATCATTATCACTCGGCCACGGCGCCTTTATTAGTGCAGACTCATGTTTCACTTGCTTCACCTTCCTCAGAGCTTGAAAGTATAAAAGTGACTTGCAATCTACTTTTCTACGCACATTCACAGCTATAGCATGGAACTTCAAACGTGATGCTAAATTGTATAGTAGTCTAGAAACCTAATTGAGATATGGTATGAAATCACGGGTGGTAACGGGCGCAATTTGTGATTCATATTTGATCTCTGATTTTGAGTGTTTTCTAAGACCACACTCAAATTTCAACACGCCTTATAGTTATTTTTGAAAAACTCTTGTTAGTGGTCTTTCAAATGAGTTGACTTATGGAGCCCCATACACGTGGTTCGACCTTGTACTCTCGTCGGTAGGGCAGTTACCCTTTTTCGTCTTTTGCCAATCCTGTGTGGGTGCTCCGGCCCCCACACTAAGAGTTAGCGACGGCGAACATTTACACTCTATGTCCAGTGAAATTATCACCGAACACGAAGTGTTGTACACTTGATTGCTCTTGGCTAACATATTTGATATATCATATCTTTCGTTTCGAGTGTTTTCTTGACACCGCAGCTCAAATTTCAATATGCCAAATAATCATTTTTTAGCCACGCATGTCAGTGGTCAGCTAAATGGGCTGATTTATGATAATTTCACTGGACATAGAGTGTAAAATGTTTGTCGTCGCTAACTCTTAGTGTTGGGACAGGAGCACCCACACAGGATTGGCAAAGAAGATGACAGAGTAACTGCCCAACTGACGAGATCCCAAGATCGAAACACGTGTATCGGGCTCTATAATTCATATTTAAGTTTTTGATATGGATCGAAATTACTTTGAAAATTTTCGGCGCTAAAGTTTTACGTTCTAGTGCTAGGACATTATCTGTCCTTCAAAGTTTTCCCGTTATACGTGCGTGCACCATACACGCATGGTGATACCTTCAAAACAGTAGCGACTTCGCCAAATTCTCTTTTATGCGAGCACACAGTGGCCACACGTTTTGCCAACGTATTCACCGCCGCCGTAAGCTTCGCATGACACTAAGTGAACTGTACACATACTTATACAGTCATCGCCTTTACCATTAAGACATATGCACTTATTAGCGTTGTTCGTAGACGATCGTACAAGCGGTTTCGAACTA